GAGGGTCTTTAAATAATAAGCATGTGGGATGGGGACCCAATTTTGTTCAGAGCCACAGTGCAGTGGAGAAGAGAGGGGGGATCGATCCTTTCCCTTCCACACCATTTAGTTGGTGGCCCTTTTCACACTACCATTCTAAACTGGATGTTGTTCATTTTTGGCCCAATTTCGAGTAAAGCAATACAGGGACTGGAGTTTCATACAGCAGATTTCTTTCCATTAATGAGCCGTCTCTGAAGTGCTATGGTCATTTCAAACAGCGTTGTTTCCCCACACACACACATCCTTTTTTGCCACGTGATCTTCCTTGGCCTTTTTAAAAACATTCTAATGTGAGCGCTATAGCTCTAAACCGCAACAGTACCAAAGTCAATGGAATCAATGTATCTCAATGTTGCTGCTATACCTAGTGCTATAGTAGTTCAATGCTACAGCGCTCACATTAGGACATTTTTTAAAAGGCCAAGGAAGATCACACAAGGAAAAGGTGCAGGGGGGGGGAAATGGCATTGTAGGAAGCGCTGTGGACATTTTAAACAGCACACCACAGTGATTCAGAAGCACAACAAAGGGTTGAAAATGGGAAAAAGCAGTTTCCCTCAAAAGCGGCTCAACCATGCTTTGCTAACCTGATGCATGCAGGTTTGTATGAACAGGGTAAATAAATTCTACTAGCACCTGGTTACTCAAACGGGTCTGTCTGAAATGACTGAAAAGATCCATTAGCAACCAGTTACTAAAACAGAATACGAGGGCAGTTTGAAAAGGGCTGGTGTTTTCTCTCTAGGGAAAAAAAAAAAAAGAAGATGCAAGCAAGCAGCAGAATCTTTACCTCAACAGGGTAAACAGAAACTCTGCAGGGCCATTTTGGGTCAGTCAAAATGATGTGGGATGAAGGATTTACCTCCCTCCCCAGGCCCAACCCAAATAAAAAAATTCATATGGCTGTTATTTCCACACACAAAAAATTGCTTCAGAGGGCCAATCATGATCACGTGTGGTTTGACCATAGCTATGCCTGAGCTGGAGTCTGCCTCCAGTCTTTGTAGTGAAAATTTATTTCCACTGACAGCATCTGCAAATTTGGGCTTTGCGCATCTTTGGTTTTTACAAGGGACTATAAAAGTATACAGAACACTTCCTTGAGTACTGTCTTTGCCAGCTCTCATCAAGCTGAAGAGTTCTGTGTGATCTGAAAACCTGTACATTCCTGCATCAGCAGATGCTACTTCAAAATAAAACACTCCCTTTCAGATTTCCAGCAACCAGCACACCAGCGTCTCAACTGAAGAGGCAGAATAAACAGAGTGAGGTACAGACCTCATGTGAACTCATGGTTTAGTTCAGGAGTCCACAACCTCATTGAAATTGTGATCACCTAATCGAATTTTGAAAACTGGTAGTGAGTGTCATGCCATGAGGGGAGCATAGCCACCACAAAATGGCTGCCATGAGGAGAGTATGGCCAACCACAAAATGGCTGCGATGAGGGCAGTACGGCGACCACAGATTGTTTGCCATGAGGAAAGCATGGCCAACCGCAAAATGGCTGCCATGGGGGCTGCAGCTAGTCACAGAATGTTGGGAGGTTCCAAGCTAAGGATCCTCTTAATACGGAGGCAGCTATTTGTGAAAGGGTTCTCACTGCAAACACAAAAGTAATGCCTCTTGGCCTCTTCTGAAACACCTCTACTTTGATGAAGTGGAGAGAAGCCAGGATGGGCTCTTTGCTTTGGCGAAGAGATGCTTCAGGGAAGCACAAAGTGGATGCCTGGAAACACATTGGTGTGTTTGGCACACCACACTGCAGATCAGTGGTTCAGTTAAACTAACTATGATTAGTGTGATCAGTCAAATGTGAGTCGTTCCACTATAGCTAGCTACAGTGCGTCAAACCAGGATCTGAATCCACGGTCTGAAGTGGGTTTATTAATAACAGTTAAACGATGGTATCACAGGACATACTAGACATCCTCATTTGGTCCCTAGGAACACACTTGCCACAACACAAGCCAAGATCCCAGACAGGTCTGTAGGGGACCACTGGGGGAAGGAGAAATGCAACGAAACCAGCACCTGTCACAACAAAGCAAGGTTTGAATGGACTTCTGCAAGCTAAATCCTGGCTTCACAAATTAACCACAGTTAGCATTAAACTCTGGTTTTGTGTCATGTCTGTCCAAAGCCTTTTAAAACCAAGACTAGATTCAAATAGGTAACAAGAAAATAACCATCTAGGTATCAAAGAATATAAAAAGTTGGATGCTGACTTTGATCCATTCATGATTTGGAGGATGAAGGCAGGCTTTGGGAATCCCTTTTAGAAGTTGCAGGTGGGGGAGACAGAGAAGTTCAAGTGCAGAATTGGTGTGGTTTGATTTGCAGTCAGTTCTAGGGTGAGCAAGAGCCTTGGTTTCCTTCACTGAAGATGGCTGGTTTGGTGGCTCTGTATTGTCACACTGTGTGGGGAATGGAAGCATTATGCTGGTAGCCATTTTCTCTTCATTTTGGATCCTGCTTTTATTTCCAAGGCTGAGTTTGTGATTGTGGTGGTGGTTGGTTGGTTGGTTGGTTGGTTCTGACCCGTGTTCTGGATTTGAATACACTGTGACAACAAGATGGCTGCCCCTTGGGAGTCACTTCCCTTCCTTGCAGGAAGCTGTTCTGGTGGCTGTCTCTAATTCACTGTTGGCACCTGGTTCCTTTGTAAACTGTATTCCTTTGCCTTCAGTCTCAGGTTGGCAATGCTGTTGGCCATATTCATGCCCTGGGCAGGGCTGGCATTGGTGCAGGAGGCTGAATAGGAGGCCATGGCACTGCTGGGAGAGACACAAAGAAGAAGGGGGGGAAAGAGAAGTGAAACAAAACCATACGGTTCGGGGGCAGCCTTGGCCACATAACTTACTGGATCATGGAGCTGCAAGTGCTGCTGGGCTTGGCTTGCTCTTGAGAGTTCAACTTCCTGAGCCACCCTTGCTTTGGCAGGGTTGCCAACCTCCAGGTGGGGCCTGGAGATTTCCCACCATTACAACTGATCTCCAGATGACAGACATCAGTTTCTCTGGAGAAAACAGCTGCTTTTGGAGGGTAGACTCTCTGGCACTGCACTCTGCTAAGGTCCTTCCCCTTGCAAAACACCGCCCTCTCCAGGCTCCGCCCCCCAAATCTCTAGGTATTTCCCAGCTCAGAGCAGGCAACCCTATCCTTTGATTATCTTTTAATTGTCAAGAAGGGGAGAAACTAGTCTGCCCTCCTATTGTACCTTTAACAATAGCTGAATGTTTAGAAATCGGGTATGGCATGGCATGGCCTCTAATAGCATGCATATATTCTCTGCTCAGCAAGGTCAGACTTCCTTCAGCCTAAGGGGTCCTTCTGCCAGGAGAAGGGTTTTTTCGGGGGGAACAGCTACTTAAGTTAGAGGAAGGCTCCTTGGGCTGGAAGATGCTTCTAGCTTTGCCGAAAAGAGTGGTGGGATCCAGCCAGTCTCTTCTGCTGGCACTGCCATAAAGACAGAAGAGCAGGGGCTGGTTTTTTTAAAAAGAAAGCTGTTGCCAACCTACTTGAATTATTTCTGCCAAAGTTTGCAAATCCTCAAGACATAGAATAAGGCTTCTCTTTGTTCCTGGTGCTACTGCACCTCACCTAGTTTGTAGGGAGGAAACAGCTACATTTCCCCCTGGGATGGCTGTAGGGTTGCTGGCAGGAGAGATTTGGGCTGCGTTCCATATCAAGTATTCAAGTATTCATTATCTCATGTACTGAAAGTTGGTTCACTCATTCACCCACAGCATTGGGTTGTTTGATGCTCAGTTACTGTATGGATGTGTAAAGTGTCTCCCTGGAAAAAGTGGTCAAGGTGATTTGAAAGAGCTGGTGAAGGATCATTCACATGATTGGGAGTCACGGATTCGGGGAAAGCTTCAGGTACTGAGCAGCTCTTTGCAAAACTGGAATGTGTAGCTGGAGACAGCTGCTACTGCAGGAAGGGTTCTTAGGGTTAGCTGGGGGGAAATACTCTGTGGTTTTCCATCCACATCTTCTCTCTCTCTCTCTCTCTGGCCCTTTCCTCACTCTTAATCCATGTTCACTGTAATGTCCTCCAAGAAATTCTGCACTAAAACTGAATCCAACCTTCTTTTTATTCCAGGTTACCTCCCTTCAATGGTCAGCCTGATTTCAGCCCACTGTTGCCTCAGGTTTTTTGGATGCTCTTTTGCCATGGACTTAGGGTGATTCTGCATTGGCTTTTCCCTCCGTTGTTTTACCAAACCCACCTTGGAACAGAAATTCCCCTCTGCACTGCATGCTGCTTTCACTTCCTTTGCTCATCGGGTTTTAGGGTACCTTCTGCACAGATTTATGGCCGTTCAGGGCTGACTTTGCAGTCAGCGTGGCGTTGCCCAGGAGGTCTTTGATGTGGTTTTGAGCTTCACCTTTTCCTCACTGTTGAGAAAATGTGGAGCAAAATGCCAGATGCAGAATTGCCCTTAAATTGCCTTGACTTGAACACTGAGAAAATCTGGAGTAGCCGGAAAATGTGGAAAGGACCCCCCCCCCACTCCCCCTCCCTCCAAAGAAGAGGGATCACAGTCGGGAGAAGAGAATGTGCCTGGAAGGAAAGAATGCCTCCCCAAGTGTCTCAAGAGCCAAAGTATGTCTGCAGCTTTCTGGGTAGCCTCACTGTCGTTCAAGAGACTATCTGCCCTTCACATTGCCACATAGCCAAGTATTTGAAGTGGGGGGGGAGCATATCAGGAGCTCCTCCTTCCTGGTAGGAAGAAAGGGTCAGCAGCTTCCTGCCTGTGGTCCGGAGAGCAGACTGCCCAAAGGCAGGAGGAGGAGCAGAGGGAGAGGACAACAGACTCAGAGGTAGCGACCCGGGCACAGAGGGTTGAGGAACTTGGGAGGCACAGAGGTGTGACCCAACCACTGTGGTCCTCAGGCCCCTTAAAGGAGCAGCGTGAAAAGGGCCCAAACGACTGACGAACCCTGCGTTGGAGTTGGGGCGAGGGCACGCAGTGGGCTTTCAGCCTGCAGCTGGGACTGCAGCTGTCAAGGTCATTTAGCACCCCTGGCAGTGCCATCACCTTTCGGGAGGATTTCAAGTGGGCCCTGCCCTATTTTAGTCACTCCACCTGGAAGATGTTATCTGCTTCTCCCAAAAATGACTGAAGCAGCAGCCAACAGAGCTCCTGAGAGCGGAGGACTCATGCTCTGCTCTGCTCAACATAACCACTTTCCTCTGCTCAACACACCCACATACCTTCGTGACTGCCTCTCCCAGAATGCCCCTGGAAGAGCATGACGCTGAGCAGGGCTCTTTTTGTAGAAAAAGCCCAGCAGGAACTTATTAGCATAATAGACCACACCCAACAGCAGGAACTCATTAGCATATTGGGCCACACCCCTGACAGCACAGCTCATTAGCACATTAGGCCGCACCCCCATGTTACCAGAAGTGTGGTCATCCAGCCACGCCCACCTTTTGCTTGCTATTCTGTTTACCTTTTTTTGTTGTCAAAACCCAGGGCCTTTTTTTGTAGCAGGAACCCCTTTGCATGTTAGGCCACACACCCCTACTGTAGCCAATCCTAATGAGTTTCTGCCGTTGGGTGTGGCCTATTATGCTAATGAGTTCCTGTTGGGTGTGGCCAACTTGGGAGCCAGCCGGAACTCCATTCCTGTGAATTTCTGCCCAAAAATAGCCCTGACGCTGAGGGAATAAGAACCTCCTGCTGGCCCCCAGTCCGAGGGAAGTCCGGCTGTCCTCGACCAGGGCCAGGGCTTTTTCAGCCCTGGCCCCTGCCTGATGGAACTCTCTGCCGGAAGACATCCGTGCCCTCCGGGAATTACGACCTTTCTGTCAGGAGATGTTCCGCCGGGGCTTTGGTTGACGACAGTGATGGGGCACTCTCAGCCATTTTGTCATCCCTTGAAACCCCTCCCCCCTAGGGAGGCTGGGGAGGTGAATTTTTTCTGCCATCTTAGACTCGTACATGTATACTGTTTTATCTATTGATGCCTATTGGCTGGCTTTAATTTCGATTTTAAATTGCGAACTTGTATAGGGGAGGGCAGCCTAGTGAATCTAATTTAATAAATAAATAAAATAAATCCCATAAGCTAGACTCTGACGGAGCCAAAACTGCATGCAAAGCTGGGGGGGTGAGGAATAGGGATAGGGGGACCACTGTAAGAGTGGTTGAGCAGTGGGACAGGCTGCCTCAGGAGGTGGTGGGTGCCCCTTCACTGGACGTGTTCAAGCGGAGGCTGGACGACCATCTTTCGGGCATGTTGCAGGGCTATTATCTTTCGGCTCTGCTCCTGCAGAGTGCAGGGGGTTGGACTAGATGACCTGCAAGGTCCCTTCCAACTCCCACATTCTATGATTCTGTCAGGCTTCCCAGTCAAGACACTCAACAACGTTCCTTCAGAAGTTTCAGTTTACTGAGGGCTAGTACTTAGGACATCATGAACACGTGTGTCAGGAATGGCGGGCAAATGACTTGAACCTATAGATATAGCCCCTTCATACATGACCCCCTGATGCGATAAAGCCAATAGGCAAGCCCCTGAAGACGCAAAGCAGCGGTTATATTCCCAGTGGGTAGCTAGGAGCTGGCCGAGTGAAGCCTTCAGGGACACCAGACAGATAACAGCTCGCAGGCGAAAGGAATGGGGGACGGGAGGAGGGGGAGAGAGGGAGAGAGGGAGAGCAACCCACACATTCCACACCCTGGCGGCCTTAGCTGACGGATTCTATGATTCTACCATGTCCCTGTTGACTTTGCATTCCGCTTCCACCCCAACCAGACCTTTCCAGAAAGTTACCTTTGTAGAGTCTTCTCCTAGTATCCATTAGGAAGCCCCTCGTGCAAACAACATCTTAGGAGGGTTGAGGAGCTATTTTAGAAAGTGTGAAAGGAGGGAGAAATAATAAGCCACATGAGTACATCGGGTACTTCAGTCGGGTTGCCAGGTCTGGGTGGGAAAATACCTGGCGATTTTGGGGGTGGAGCCTACGGAGGGCGGGGTTTGGGGAGGGGAGGGGCCTCAGCCACGGAGTCCACCTTCCAAAGCACCCTTTTTGTCCAGGGGAACTGATCTCTCTCTTCTGGAAATCAGCTGTAATAGTGGGAAATCTCCATGCCCCACCTGGAGGTTGGCAACCCTAACTTCAGGGATCACCACCGTGACTTTAGGGTGCTCCTGCAAAGTGGTGGCACAGTCGGATGGTATCGTAACATTTGGTAACAAGGTCACCCACCCCTTCTCAAGGCCAAACGTAACAGCATCCTGATGTCAATTTACTCTCAACCATCCGGTGACTCTAATCTCTGCAGAGGGCGTATTTTGATGGGAATTGGTTCTGTTGCACCAGTGGGCCTCTGTGGGTCGGGGGCATTTTCCATACCAGCTTGCCAGCCCCCCCCCCCCCGCTTTACAACGAGCAGGGGGCAAGCATAAAGTAAGGGAAAAGGAAGACTATATCAAGAACTCTTTGCAAGTGAAAGTTCTCTGCCCTGGCCCCAACCTGGTGCAAATCTCTGCTGAGTACCAGCTGCGCCCTGTGCGACCTGTTGCAGTTCCGCAGGGCCTACACAGCAGAGATGTTCCACCACGCACTTGGCAGAGGACAGCAGTGGTCCCATCTACCGGCACTTCTAACTCCCTGCCTCCCCCGTGAGACAGTGACGCAGTTGTAGGGTTGCCAGGTCCTAGCTGCTGGTTGGCGGGGGGACTCCCAATTGTGCTTGGACTTCTTCTGGCACGTGTGTCATCGGGGGCGACGCTCTAGGTTTTGGTCAAAACTCTGTGGGTTTTTGGGCCTCAAAACTATAGAGTTTTGCCCAAAACCTAGACTGCCGCCTCCAACGCCGGAAATATGATGACGTCACTCCTGGGTGACATCAGTGTGCCAGCAGCACCGGGGGGGGGGCTTTTGGGGGTGGGGCTTCCCTGCCGGCCAGCTGGGCTGCAGTGGATCGGGGGCCCTGAAATCAGGGGGGTCCCCTGCCCCCCCCACTGGGGGAATGGCAGTCCTCCGCAATTGACTATCTGAGCATCATCTTTTAGGCAGATTGTTGTTTCATTGTGTTTTTAACTGTCTTAATTTATGCATTTTTTGGTTATGCCTTACGTTGTACATCGCCCTGAGCCCTGTTTTTACAGGGGAAGGTGATTTAAAATCTAATAAAATAACCACCACCATTACAGTTGAAGGAGTTTAAGAATTAAAGGAATTCAGAGGAGCCCAGCAGATTCACAGGGCAATCATATGCTAAGTTACTCCGGTCCAAGCCCACCGTGATCAATCAATCTGGAACAGGACTGCACTGTTAGATGGCACTCCAGTGTCACTGGACATGGCGCAGTCATTTGGCTCTCAATTGTCCTGTGCAGACAAGACAACCGAATTGCAAATGAAAGCTATAGTGCAATATCCAAGAATGTGTGGATGCAGCCAAAGACGCTTGAGTTGTCCTTCCTAATGCTTAAGAAGTCCCTCAGGCTTGTTCTCAAAGAACAAATTATACCCTGCAGGTGCCTATGGAATTCTGACACGGTGTTGTCAGTGCAGCCACAAAATGGCTGCCACGGGAGGCAAAGCCAGCTAGAAAACCACTGCCACACGTTAACTTCAGCCACGTAGTGAACATCCTTGTGCTGTGGTAGCAGCTGCTGCCAAAGCAACATTCTTACAAACCTGCACAGCCAAGCACATCTCCAATAGCCAATCAGAATCCAAGCTGAGCCAAAGCCCCCCCCCTTCTAAAAACATTTGACAAGTGCCAGGAAAGATGCTGGTGGGAGTCACGGTGCCCATGAGGACTCTTCTGGGGACCCCAGCTCTATTAACACGCCACATTGTTCTACAAGCATAAGCAATTGGCACACCCACCCCCATCAATCGCCAGGGCCTCCCTTGTTTGAGCACCTCAGCCAATCTTTTCTGCTTGAGCAAAGACTTATGATGCAGAGGGCTCCGACCCCTCCAACATACTGCTGGGAGAACAACAACAGAAACTCGATCAAAAAGGTCTTAGAGTCTGCAGCTGCTATGCAGCCCCTGCATGCATACTAAGTCACATGCAAATGGGTATGAGAAGGTGAGGTCTGAGGGTGGAGGGTCTACCAAAGCCTCCTTTACTGTCCACACTGAGGAGAAGGTGGCTGGAGCTCTTTGCCTCTTCCTGTAGAAGTTAATGGAATGAGCGATTAGTAGCCCTTTAGTCCTTGCTCAGTTCAAAGCACAGCCCCTATTAAATATTAGTTGCCAACCAGAAATATATGCATCCAAGCATAGCAACTGTTGGAGACGGGACTGTCGCCTGGATGGACCATTGGTCCGGCCATCAGAGCAGTTCTTAAGGTCTTGAGGAAGAAGACATAGTGCATGAATCAAATGTATCCATCTGCCTTTTGGCCTCAGTTCCCCAACTGTAAAAATTAGGATTGTGTTGGATTGTCCAAGATTGTTGTTATAGACGGATTAATTATAAAGCCCACTGCCCACCAAAAATGCTAAAGAAGTGAAAAGGCAGCTGCGAATCAGACAGACTGTGAACTGAAGCTACAACTAAACGACTCATTTCAAACAGCCTCAAACACAAAAACTTCCCGATTGTGGATTGTGCCCAGGGAACCCCTGGCCAAGTCGCGTTTCTCTTCTGGTTCTTCCCAGCCTTTCCCAATCCTGTAGCAGCAAAAGGTGGTCACATATTAAGCAAAACCCTATTTTTTCCGCCACATGGTTCACATTAGGTTTGTTTGTTTGTTTGTTTGTTTGACTTTGTGGTACATGGTTTTGTCAGAAGAGTTTTCAGTGAGTTTTACACAAACCTCCATTAGATTTTTTTAAAAACAAAAGGGGGGGAATCCCTTTATTTCAAAGGATGATCTATCAGCGTAGCAGATGGTGGTGGCTGCCAATGACGTGGGAAGAGAATAAAAAATGACGAAGCCTGGGAACCATTTTTCATTTTGGCAGGCGTCAACCCATTGCTGTGGAAACATGGGATTTGCTGATAATCAGGCTGTAATTAGAGGACAGTGTCAGCTAGAAAAGCAATACTGATGTGGGGAACAGGAATGCGAGGCCAGTTTTATAAAACATGATGACTGGGAAAGGGGAAAAGCCATTTCCCAGGGATCTTTGCAAAAGGGTGTTAGGGTCAAGTATAACCATAGTTTATTTTAACTGCAGTCAGATTGTAAAAAACAGGATACTTTGCCTTGACCAATGTTGGTTCTCTATAGCTAGGCATCTTTCTAACGGGGGGTATACCAAGGAACATGCCAGGATTGAGCCTAGATGTCTGAGTTCATATATCTCTCAAAAGTAGGGTTAGGAATCACGGGTGAATAAGCCAGCTTCAAACCACCCCGGTTTGAAGGATCCCTGAATAATCAGTTAGTGGAGTGGCCAACATTCAGACAAACATCCTACCATCCTGACCAAAAAGGATTAACTCTAAGGCTCAGTTCAAACAGGATGGCAAATTATGATTTAATGAACCTCACTGGCTAGAATGGCCAAAATGGTTTCAATGCCTCCTTAGATTTATCCTTCACTGGCTAGGATTGCCCATGCGATCAGAGGTCATTTCAGGGGGGATCGCGGGGGATCGCAGTTCCCCGGGTGAGGTATGGGGGGCGGGGCACATGACAAAGCCCCGCCCCCTGCTTCCGGCCACCCCGCTTCCGGCCCTCATTCAGCCAGGAGGAGGCAGGAGAAAGGGAGGGTAAGTTGCTTCCTCCTTGCCTCTCCCCACCCCTGCCTGCCTGGGGCCAGGGAGGGCCTTCGCGGGGCTTCCTTGCACTCCCGCCGGCCTTGCAGATCCACCGTCGGGCCCCTCATGGGGCTCGGCAGTGGTGCTGCAAGGCCGGCAGCGAGGCCAGGACCGTTGGGGGCAGGGTGTGTGGCCTTATGACACACTTCCGGTGATGTCAGGGTGTGTGGCATATGCTAATGAGTTATGCTAATGAGTTCCCCTAGCTCTTTTTCTATGAAACGACCCCTGCATACGATCATGGTGTGAACTGGGCCTCAGGATTATCCCTCACTGGCTAGAATTGCCCATACAATCATGGTGTGAACTGAACATCAGAATTATCCCTCACTGGCTAGGTTTGCCCGTAAGGACTTTATGGTTCTCCACAGGTGTTTGTTTGCCCCTAGTGAGGTCAAAGAGTAGATGAGTTTGATTGGCTGAAAAGCATCATGACACAATGTGAAAGAGAAATCCCAGATTGTCTGGAATGTCTTGCAGAGGAACAGAAGGCAAATATGGCCACTACCAAGGGAAATGGTAGGGGGGAAATGGCTATGAACAGCTATTTAAAAACTGTCCCCCGGGATTACCAACCCCCATGGTTTTCAAGGCAAGAAAGAAAATAACCTGGAGAACATTGTATTCAGCACTGTGGTAAACTGGTTCCCAGCTTGACAGCTGATGTGGCACAGTGGATAGGGTGATGGAATAGGGTCCTGGGAGTCTTAGGTTTAAATCTGCCACAGAAGCTCATTGGGCCAGTCACACACTCTCAACCTAACCAACCTCACAAGGTTGTTGTGATGATAAAATTGGGGGGAGATCTATGTATATCTTGAACTCCTTGGAACCAAAGCAGGAGAAAAAAGAATATAATATATTTATCCCAGTAGGGCATGGTAATTTAGCTCCCATGGAACAAATGTGAGGTGTTTATTTAAACAAACACCTACGATGTTAATGACAGTATCAGCCTGTCTTGGGTTTCATAAAGTGTCCAGAAAAGCCACCAAAGCTGCAAATTGGCTGTGCAAAAACTTGTCTGGGGGAGAAAAGGCGTGACTATGACCATTATTAGGGAAAGCAAGATTGGGTGGGGGACCACCAAGGAAGTCCAGGGTTACTATGCAGAGGCAGGCCATGGGGCAAACCACCCCTGGGCATCTCTTGCCTTGAAAACTCTACGTGGTCACCATAAATCAGTTTCAGCTTGACAGCACACCCCACCATCACCATGAAATACCTGCATACGATCATGGTGTGAACTGGGCTTAAAACTTATTTACTTTCGTGATAAAGGTGGGCACACCTGTTTTGAGAGCCTGCAGTTAAGTCTCTTTTGCCCCCGTATGTCCATAACAACAGAGCTCTCTCCTCCTTCCCGCCACCTTTTCTCCATCACCTGACAAAGAGGCTGTCTCTGACACTACTTGGATTTCTCCTGTACCATAACCTTCAGCATCATTATCTAAGACAGTGATTCCTGCCCTTTCATATTCTACATCCCACCAATCACTCTCTCAAAGAACTCAGGTCTCACCATGATAGGAACAAAAAGCCCACTTTTCCATTTGTCACTTATGGTAAATGTTAAGTCCATAAAATTTTCAGAAGCACAATGGATAATCGCTGGCAAGGTCAGGTTCGAAGGAAGCAGCCCATCAAAGACACTAGGTCCATCAAAGACCAGGGGAAGAGTAGAGAGGCCTGTTAGAAAATCACCTGTATGGAGAAGCAGTCCCCCAGGAGAGATAGTCAGTGGGTCTTGGAGCTGGTCTCGGTACAATCGGCTGCTCCACTGCAGTCACATCTCCTGAGTAGGACTTGAGGAGGGATGCGTTCTTGTTGGCCAGCATGGCTCTCTCGTTCCTGCGAAACTTGGCCCTCCTGTTCTGAAACCACACCTAGAAAAGGAGGACAACGCATCAGTGAGAGTGGTCCCATGCAAAGGAGTGGATGTTCCTGCTGCTCAGAAAAGTGGGTTCATTCACGTCCTTTCCCTTCTGATAATTTACAATGGATTTGGGGGACTTCTGTGTTTGGGTGTTTCATCTTCTGTCAGATTTTTAAGGACTAAACATGGAATGTTTAGCATATTTACCAACCCACCCCAAAAATGCAGCATACCTATTGCAAATTTTATCTTACTCTTCCTCTCAAGCAGTTCAAGGCAGCATACTCAGAGAAGTGTGTACAGGTACAGGAGACATATTTGTAAATCCAAGTACTGATCAAGCCTACCTGTCAAACTGGGATTAGCCCTGTGGATTATTTACATTAATGGTAAACAGATTTCTGTCCATTTATTCTTTGTATCCTCTTGTGCAGGGACCTGGTGCTCTTCAGTCATTAGTGTTATTAACTAGCTTGAGCTGGTGTGCTGGAGAAGAAGGCTCATGCACACTCCTTGGACAGCAAAGGTGACAAGCAAGCAAGCATTGGAGTGCATAAAACTAGACATGCCACTGGAAGGAAAAATCACAAAACTACGGCGGACTTATTTCAGCCATGTCATGCGGAAGAACTCACTAGAAAAAGCAATTATGCTTAGATTGGTTAGCGGCAAAAGGAAACCGGGCCGCCAAAGAACACGTTGGCCAGACACCATAAAAGTTGACACCAGCCTGAGCATGGAACGACTCAAAGAAACAGTACAAGATCAGAAAACATGGAGAGAGGCTGGCCCATGGAATTGCCAAGAGTTGGAATCGACGGAATGGCTAACAACAACAACTAGCTTAGGCTGCATCTATCTGGAGGTTTTTCTCTGCTTCCAAACCGAAGCACCTTATTTGGGGGGTCATGTACATGACATCCTGCTCTAACCATGCCCCTACTGTCCTTTACCCATCCTTTCCCAAAACTGCTTTATTCCATTATTTTTGGAAAGATCAGAGTCCAAATGCATTCTCACTCCAAGTATACTTTCCAAGTACCACTTTTCTTTCCCGACAATTCCCATGATTTGCCCAAGAGAAAAATGTCATTCTTCCTCCAGTTTGTGATTTCTCTATGAAGTTATCCACTCTCACACTGCAATGTCGTGCTGTTTCAAGACCATTTTCAGTTTGTTTTGAACTATAAGCCTTTTTCCGCAGTATATCCAAGAGCCTGTGTTTTCTTATCCTTGTTTAAGTTTCCCTTGCCCTTAATAGACTTGTGATCTGGTCTCGTCCATCTCATGTCCCGTTGACTCCTCTAGCACTTGGGGAAGTGATCGGCAATTGGGAATGAAGAGGATGCCTTCTCCCTTTGGTAGTGGGACTCTTATACTGTGATCCAGCGGCTTGTGGCTGGCTCAGGATTGGTGCCATAAGGGCAAAAAGAAGACGATCGCTCCTGTTGCTCAGTGATATGGCAACATTCAGCTGCAGGAAGCTACCCACACACAACAACCCCTCCTCTTTGGCTGATTCTGCCTTGGCTTTTCCCTCTGTTGTTTTTCAAACCCACATTGTAACAGCAAAGGTGCAGCTCAAAACCACATTCAAGTACGCAGTAGTGACTGCAAAGTCACCCCCTGAATGGCCATAAATCTATACAGAAGGTACCATAAAATCCGATGATCAAAGAAAGCGAAAGCGACATGCAGTGCAGAGGGGAATTTCTGTTCCAACCTGGGTTTAGTATAGCAACGGAGGGAAAAGCCACTGCAGAACCGCCCAGTCTTGAGAAGCCCATGACTGTCACCTGAGCCAAAGTAGCAAGCCTATGTTTCTTAGAGGGGGCCTCTAAAGCAGCTCTGCAGAGCCCAGAGCCCGACAAGGCTTTCTTTGGCAGCCCTGCTTGGCCTAGGATTTGGCCTCCGCTATAAATTTCATTTCAAAAATAGATGTAAGTTTTCTTTCTCTTTCCACCAAGTCCCTTCTGATTGTTAAAGCAGGAACCGAAGTTGCCGCTAGAACAGGAGAGCTCTTTTCCCCTCTCGCTGTGGAATTTCATAGGTTTGACTTTTAAGTCTGTCTAATAAGTAGGGGGACTGCCAGTTCCTTGGGAGAAAGACCCCGAATGGGGTCCAGCCCAAACTAAGCACCTTTAAGTCCTTCGGATTTGAATGTTAAAGATTTCAGCACCAGTGGATCTGACTCACTGAAATCAAATGCAATTGAAAACAGCTTTGGTTTAATGGTGTGCCGGTCTCACAGAGCAATAAGACCCCTCGTTTTTAACTGGGCCTTGTGAACTGTGGCCCCGGGCTAGCCTGATCTCATCCTATCTCAGAAGCTGAGCAGGACCGTCCCTGGTTAGTAACTGGATGGGGAAGTCCAGGGGTCACTGCACAAAGGCAGGCCATGGGGCAAACCACCTCTGAACATCTCTTGCTGTGAAAACCCTGTGGGGTCGTGGTACGTCTGCCATGGCTGGACAGCTCTTTCCACCATATTTATGGATGCAAGTCTACTGCTCAGGCTGATCTGATAGCTATAACATGCTATTGAAGTCACCCGGTTAGCTACTGTGATTGGGCACAATGTTGGTATATTAGCTCTCTAAAAATTCAAAGTGATCCAACCCTGGGTGACTCAAGAGCATGGTGGATAATTCACACCCCAGGAATCAGCAAATATTCCTAAAGGAGCTGCCTTGTGCCTAGATGGATATCTACGATAGTGTGTTGCAGCAAAATAAAACAGAAGGCCAGTGGCATCAAAGACTAACACTTTAATCAGTTACAGGTCACTTCATCAGGTATACTAGACTATAAATCTATCAGGCCCAAGATACATACACAACAGAAAGGTGGGTAGAGGGGACTATTAAAAAGACATTCCAAATAAAATCTCAGAACAGACATTAAACACCCAACTGCTGTTTGATAATCGAAAGTTCAGTCTAGTCCAGAATGAAGTGAGATAAGCAGATACAGTCACTTGAGCCACCGCAGCTCCATTTCATCAGGTGTACTAGACTATAAATCTATCAGGCCCAAGATACATACACAACAGAAAGGTGGGTAGAGGGGAATATTAAAAACACATTCCAAATAAAATCTCAGAACAGAGATTAAACACACCCAACTGCTGTTTGACAATCGAAAGTTCAGTCTAGTACAGAATGAAGTGAGATAAGCAGATACAATAGGAGGTTAACAGAGGTCTAGCTAAATTAATTCATCCTGCACTAGATTGTCTAACAAAAGACTGCCTCCTATGGTGCCCTCTCACATGCTGATAAGAAACTGGTCGCTAACTCTCCCATTAGGTGAACCCAAAGTTTGCAGCTTTCATCCAGCCAGCTCCATGTTGATGGATCCATAGCAAAATCCCACATGCCAAAGGTCCCTTTGGAAAAAACCAAAAAGGAGTTTTGTAGCACCTCAAAGATGTAACAGTTTTAATAAACTGAATCTTTTCAGGGAGTTAGACCATAACCAGGAAATGGGGGGGGCACGTTGGGGGCACATCACTTTCCACATCATGTGCTTACGTCACTGGCTGTGCAGGCCAGCTGGGAACAATAAACTGAATCTTTTCAGGGAGTTAGAGTCAGGACCATAACCAGGAAATGGGGGGGCACGTTGGGGGCACATCACTTCCCACATCATGTGCTTACGTCACTGGCTGGGCAGGCCAGCTGGGGGCCGGCCCTTAAAGAGACTCTGGCCTCTTCCCTCCCCTCCCTGAATCATGCGGCAGGGGCAGCACGTGCCAATATTTAAAGAGATGTATGTCTGGGGTGGGGCAGGGCCCATATGTGGGGGGCATCGCCCCCAAATACCCCACCATGGCTATGGGCCTGGTAAGAGTCCATCAGATGCAAAAAATGGACAGCATGACAAACAATGACAAAATGCAGACTGAAAGATGACTACCCTCTGGGTGGGGCCTTGAGTTCCCCCCAGAATTACACTTTTTCGCCGGACTACAGAGAGCAACTCCCCCTGGAGGAAATTCTGCAAAAAATGGACAGCATGACAAACAATAGCAAAATGCAGACTGCAGGATGACTACCCTCTGGTTGGGGCCTGGAGTCCCCCCAGAATTACACCTTTTCGCCGGACTACAGAGAGCAGCTCCCCCTGGAGGAAATGCCCCCCCCCGGGCATCACATCCCTGCGGTGCTTCTTCCCTTTCCCAAACACCACCCTCCCCAGGTATTGCCACCAAATCTCCAGGAATTTCCCAAGTCAAAGTTGGCAACCATTGGAGACTGTCCTGTTTTTATGAAAAACTCACAATTCTGCACGGTTACACAGCACAGACCAGCACAGTTACCCCTGGGGTTGCCGGGTCCCTCCCGGCCACCAGCAGGGCAGGAGGGCGTAGGGTTGCCTTCTCCAGGTTGGGAATCTCCCGGAGATCTGGGGGTGGAGCCTGGGGAGGACAGGGGGACCTCAGTGGGGTACACGATGCCCTAGAGCCCGCCCTCCAGAGCCTCCATTCTCTCCAGGGGGACTCTGTAGTTGGGAGAGGAGCTGTAATTCTCGGGGAACTCCTGGAGTCTGGCATCCTTAGTGACCCCTCTGGAACTAGATGGGCACAGTGACTGATCTCACCGGCTGCAGCCGATGATAAAAAGTAAAACAAGAAAGGCAGCTGTGCTGTAGCAGAATAAAATACATGAGTCCAGTGGCATTTTAAGAGGCTAGTCACGTCTTACTCTAACATACTCTTTTCATGTAAACCTATGCTGGAATAAAATTTAACAGAGGGGATCTCCTGCAGTGTTTTGAAGGGGGCAAAGACTTCCTCCAGCAAAGTGTGACTTTTGTGGCTCTTGCAGCATCCCAAAATGCCCCCTGTAATCCTGCTCCCGGCAGGGAGGGAATCTCTGTTTCCAAGCTGCCACTTGGGCTCAAGTCAATGAAGTGATGACAAGCCATAAACACCTGGGGTGGCTAGGGAAGACAGCTGCTCTATTCAACCTGGATCACACACGTCAAGTTTCTGGTACTCATGGGCCCCGGTCACATGGGCCGGATATCACGGGGGGAAGGCGTGGCTAATTGCCCCAGCGCAGTTTGATCCGTGATCAGACGTGCCAGTGGCACACCATGGGTCCTTCCCTTGGTGCCGGCGGGTAAACGAGGGTGACGATCACACGACGATCCTGCAGCGCGGCAAAGAAGCGGCGCAGCGCGATCACAACAGCATTCGCTAGGCGCTGCTTCCGTGGGAAACGGGAGGTTCCCCCCCCACCAAAGTCCGCTCATGCGCATGTGCCGTTGGGTGCTTGTGCGCATCCTGTGGAGACTTGGGGGGGGGAACCTTTTCACGACGGGACATGGGCGGGCGCCGGATGTCACGGTATTCCACCAGAAATGCGATCAGGCGCCTGCCCTTGCCCCATGTACCTCGGAGGTACTAGTTTTTTACCCCGCATCTTCGGCGGGAAGTCTCGAGTTCGCCACGGGAGCTCTACGCTTCCCAGATGTGGCGCTGTGATCGCGCCCGGAAAATCCGCCTACCTTCCATCTCTGTAGCGTGGCTAATGCTCCGTGTGACTGCAGCCATGGTTGTGAAATTATAGAACTGAAACTATTACAGACGCACGAAACATGTAGGTTTAGTCTAAACCAGGGGCCCCATACTGGCGCCCGCAGGCAGCCTGGCACGGGCACCAGCCGACACCTTTTCTGGCCCCCCGCCAAGTGCTTTTAGAAAGTGGGTGGGTCAGGTGGGGCTTTTGCCCGGCAACGCTTTTGATTGGTTGTGAAGATTTCTTAAAATGTAGCTTTGGCAGCCGGTTCCACCACAGCACAAGGACCTTCACTGTGTGACTGGAGGTAAGCTGAGGCAACGATTTCATGGCTGGTTACACCTCCTGCAGCAGCCATTTTGTACAGTAAAAAAGAGCAAGAGTCCAGTGGCACCTTAAAGACTTACAAAATATGTGGCAAGGAGCTATATGGCAGCCATTTTGTGGCAGCCATTTTGTGGTGGCACCCACCATGCTGTGTCAAAATTCCAACGTGCCCACAGGCTGAAAAAGGTTGGGGACCCCAATCCTAACTATCCATAGCAGGTTATTGTTAATAGCTTCTACTTCCTTGTGTTAACATTGCTCCTGGCAGAATCCTCCCCATTCTTTAAACTATTTTTAGGTACTGGTCTCAGACTAAACCATATAAACAGATTTCTTCAACATAAGGGCATTTGTGTAAATGTTAATATATAATATATATAATTTATGTTGAGCGGACTTGAGATGTTTGGGAAACCCGCAGATACATCCAATCCTAGGCCACGTTCGGTGTTCACGAGGAAGCTGGCTTGTTACCTGAACCCTGGCTTCAGTGAGGTTGACCCTGCGTGCGAGGTCTTCTCGTACAAAGGCATCCGGGTAGTGTGTCCGCTCAAAGACTCTCTCCAGTGCCTGCAGCTGGCTGCTGTTGAAGGTGGTCCGGTTCCTTCTCTGTTTTCTCTTCTTCTTCTCTTCTGAATTCAACGGGTCACCTGACAGAGGAAAGAACAAAGAAGTTGGATCTATTACACAGATACACTGTCTGTATTCACTCTCTCTAACTTTAATCAGTTCAAATGAATATGCATATGATATCACCAAAATCCTCAATATCCATGTCTTGGAGAGAGACTGAAGGGAACGCAGGATAGACTCATTTGTTGACTTGCAAGTTACTATTCAAAGTTGGAGCAAAATAGCATCTTTGTATGTTTTCATTCTCTTGTCTTGTTAAGGTAATATTCTACAACAATAATAACTGCAGAAAATGAGCCACTGTGGACCAGTGTGCCAACTGTGGAAACTCCCCAGTGTGCCAACGCGTTTGTGCATGTCCGGAGTTGTCACAACTTCAAATCCCTGTTTGGGAATCACGCAGAGGTCATTTCGGGGGGGATCGTGGGGGATCGCAGTTCCCCCGGGTGAGGTACGGGGGCGGGGCACATGATGAAGCCCCGCCCCCTGCTTCCGCCGCCCCGCTTCCGGCCCTCATTCAGCCAGGAGGAGGCAGGAGAAGAGGGAGGGTAAGTTGCTTCCTCCCTGCCTCTCCCCACCCCTGCCTGCCTGGGGCCAGGGAGGGCCTTCGCGGGGCTTTCTTGCACT